CCCCCAACACCTTGATAGAGTGAAAGAAGAGGAAAAAGAAAATAAGACACATGTACTGTTTCATATTAGAAAAAAAACAGTACTACAGTGCAGGCTACTCCATTGGTGCCTGGAGTGTCCCATGTGCTCTCCCAGAGTCCATACTACCAGTGGCTGACTGTTTCCTCTCATTTCCCTTATACCTGCCCCTGCAGCGTATCTGAATTCCCACCTTTTCAGGGTCTTTAGCAAAATGCAGCTCATTTGGTAGCTATTTTACCTCAGCTGATCTGTACCCTCATGTGTGCTGACTGAACACTCAACATATTAAATGTAGCCTGGTGAGAGCAAACTGCCACGCAGGAAAGATAAACACTCATTCTTGCCTTTCCCTGTTACATTTAGGACATAGAAAGATTTTTTCCACTGGATAATGCCTTAACATACTTACTGCCTAATTTGACCATGTAGCTTCATAACTTACGGGAACTTACTGTCTTTGAGACCTCTACTCTTTTTGTCACATCAACCAAATGACTTGACAGGCTCAAAAGTCATAAAGCAACAGATGAAGAGAGTACTTACACTGAGTCTTTTCTTCTTCAGAGGAAAAAGCCCAACTTCTTCAAAAAGCAAGGTTATTTTATGGTAACGGGTAAAGTAACCCCCTAACGGTCCGTCAGGAAGAAGGTAAATAACTGGTATGCAGGGACAGGATGCATGGGAATGCCTCAGAGGTGTATCCATCAGGAGAGGTTCAGACTGGACATTAGGAAGTGTTTCTTTACTGAGAGGGTGGTCAAACACTGCAAGAGGCTTCCTAGAGAGGTGGTCTCAAGCCTGTCAGTGTTTAAGAGGTGTTTGAACAATGTCCTTAATAACACACTTTAACTTTTAGTAAGTACTGAACTGGTCAAGCAGTTGGCCTGGGTGGTAGATCCTTACAACTGAAATAGTCCACTCCAGCACAGCTCCATCTGCAGCTGCAGACAGGAGGAAACAAGGGAGCCACACCATCATCCATGCTATTGGTACAGCACATATGAACATCCCACGTGGATATTCTACGTGCTTTCCCAAAAGGGAGTTCTGGCTAAAAGGCTGTAACTGTTGAGCACACACAAGGAATAGGATGTACACACAGGCAAGTTTTTTTATAACAGCTATTTTCTGCAGAGCTGGTCTCTGAGAAATTTACTTCATGGCTGAAGGTGAAGAACTACATTATTGTCATGTCCTAAGTTAAAATACATTTCAAAACAACCTTTTGTAACTCATTTTCTTTACATTAAGAACTGAGTAACGATGGTTGTGCTTCTACTATAGCAGCTACGTGCCCTCTTCCATACATATGAAAAAATTAAACATGTTATCTCACACCAGTGCTGAATTTTCAGTTTTAGTAATTCTGCTGGTTGCCTGTGGCTTCAGCTCTGCATAATGCCCAGTGCCAATGTTCCCATCTGCTGCTGACACAAAAATTGTTATATGGATTGTTATAAGTATTCTGAGCTCACGTGTCCATTTCAAACGTTTAATCTTCATCTAGATACCCTAGATCCTGCTGTGGCAGGGAGGTGGGACTGGATGATCTTTCGAGGTCCCGTCCAACTCCTAATATTCTGTGTGATTCTGTGTGATACCCAAAAAACAGTACAGGAAAATAACAGGTATATACTTTTAAATAGCTAGGCTAATATATTCCAGAGGGACACTATCTCAATATCCATATTCCTCGTATCTTAGATGCAGAGTAAATTTCCATTATCTTTGTTAATATTGCCACCTACAGGGAACCACAGACCTTAGTGTTTTTAGTAACGACACTGAGCAAATTCTCACAGAAAACTCTAAAAACAAGACATGAAATAAAAATACATCCACTATCACCCAGTTTTTCCCTCAAAAAATATTTTTTAAACTGACAGCGTTGAGACCAACAAGTTGCAACATTTCTGTGATTTTATAGCAGCTTTGTCTCTAGTCCCAGCCCCACACTGGCCTCTAACCACCTTCCTGTTCCCAGGAACATTTTTCAGCTGTCTGTCATCTAAAGCTCTGACTTTTAAACGTAGCTATATCATGATCATGACTTGAGTAATTCCCCTCCACTTAACATAATGGAGCCAAGTTATCTTGTACCAATTAATTCTCACAGAGCTCTCACTTTCTTTAAAGTTTCAAAAAGTTACTCAGCACTCAGGAAAAGCCAGAAATAACTTGAACCCCGCAATCCACGAGCAGTTGTGGTCTTTTCCCTCTCAAGTGCATCTTACACTCTTGCTAGCATATCTCACTTTGTGTTTTTCCCACATTTTACAACGAACCTGTAACACTTTCCTACATAGAGTGGATGTAACTGAAACCACTTGATCATGTCCAGTTGTTTTCTGTAACAAAAAACTTTCAGATAGCACCTGCTCCTGTTCCTACCCCACAGCACTCCATCAACTCCCAGAGATACCACTTAACCAACTTCCCAGAATTCAGGTATGTTTTCAAGGCTAGACAATCCAAGGGCAGCTTGTGTACTGTTTCAACAGCAGAAAAAACAAATCTGGAGGTGTTTGTATATGAGAGCAGCCAGTTTGAACACTGGAGTTCTTCTCTTCAGCCACTCTATTTTAGACAGCCTACTTACTGCTACAGGGCTTGGCCAGAGGAACTTGGTCATGGCAGCCTTTGGACTTGACATAACTGCAGTGAAATAAGAACACGTCCTCCTCCTTCGTTACACAATGCAACACAAGAACCACACTTACAAAGTATTACAGACATGAAATACAAGTGACTTTGAACTATTCACAAGTTGGGGGCTCTAGGCAGTCACACTATCGGTACCTATCGACATCAACTTCAGGGGGCATTGGTCACTCCCCATCTATCTGAAAAATATGCACTTGAGTGGAACAAGAAATACAAGAACGTAAGAAAAAAATACTACAAGCACAAGTAACTTGAGCAGGGATATCATCATCAAGAACTTTACCAAGTTTCATTACTTTAGTCATTAAATGACTGGATACATTCTGAATGCAATTTGCCTTTAAAATGGGAAGAAAGTGTTGCCAGAATAGCCTACTTGATAGACACACAAGACAAATCCTAAAAGAATATTGCCACATGGAAAATTTATCAAAAATAATCTGATAAATTGCTTCCAGTAGTAATCTGTGAAAGCATTCAACTGACTTTGTTTTCATATTGTAAGGATTAGTGAACTCATGTAAGAATTTTTGGTTTTAAACTCAAAACTGGTACTGCTGCTGCTTTTTCAGTCTCCTTATACTACACTGTCCCTCATTTAACTTGCACAGGACATTTCTTAATTACATTGAATGAGTCTTGCTACTGGACAGCCATTTTAAACATCTCATCTTCTCCAAGTAACTTCCTGTCCCTGTCTGTGGACCACATAAAAAAAATAATACTGTAAGTTACCAGATATTGCAAGCCTCAGGCATCTGAAACAGTATTTGACAGGTAGAAAATAAAGCTATGTTTCCTAAGCTCTCAAACAACAACCTAAAATAAGATAATACAGTATCCCATATTATACAGGAAACAAAAGGAAGCATTTTTAAAAATAAAAATTTTCTTAAACCTTTAGGGTATATGTCACTGACTTCTTTACAAGCAGCTGTGGAAGAAAAAACAACACTTTTGGAAAAAGTATTCTATAAAATTACATTTTTTTAAATTAACAAGTCACTTTTATTAGTACACTTGGCAACTGTGAAAGTTTACTAGCAAGGGAAGTTTACAGGGCCATAACTTCATCGATTTACGTTTTCCTATTAGTGATAAAGACTCTCCAGAATTAAGACAATCGCTTCACTAGCATAGATAAACGGCTTACTAAGGCAACCAGTTTTCAGATTATCTAGTCTACAGAAGAGTATTTATTTATTTATCAAAAGCTGCATATTTCTTCTGGAAAGAATAATTCTCCCACCCACCCCATTTGCTTATGTTCCTCCACTTCTTTTAAAAGCAGATGCTAGGTTCAGACTTGCAGGTTGTGTGTGAGGGCAGATTTTTGTTATGCAGATGCAAGGCAGCTACATGCATTCCAGTTCTGAGCAAAGCAGGCTGTTCTACTCAGCTTCACCTCTTCATTTCTTGCTTGTATCTTTCACTTCAAAGTTGCATCAAGTAATATGTCCATCTGTATTTGTCCTAAGTACAACTATGTGATATAGCAATCATTCCAGATGTAAGTTCATTTCTTTTTCTTCCCTTTACCTTTCTTGCCTCCTTCTCCTTGCTGAAGACTTTGATCACTACCTCCCATCTTTTGGGTTCTTGTTTTCAGTTTGGGAATAGTTTCTGCAGCATACAGCATCACTGACTTACCTAAAAATACAGGGAGAGATCAATGCATGCCTACTATGTTAAGAACATTTGCATCACTTTCAAAGTTAGAAACTTCAGCCCCACTTTAGTTTTCTGTTAAACTACATATAAAGCCTAGGAGTTTTGCATCCTTCCCCTGTTTAACTAGAAGTTTGTGAAAAACTCTTCTCAATATTTAATTATTTTTTTTTTCAAGCGTGCAGGACTGATAAATGTCCCAGCAGACTGGAACAGGCACACGACCTCGCAATTGCCAAAGTATCTACATCTTTCCTGTTACTCTTGTCCTTCAACTCCTAAAACACCTGGGACAGAATGACCTGGCAAAGCTACAAACATTCAAGCAGGAATATGGTTTCAAATCATCTCCTGACCAACAGCACTTCTATGCTACTCTAGATTCAGTATTCTTGGTCTTTCCTTAAGCTTCTTCAGCTTAATGCCTTTTGCAATATGTATTTGCTTCCTTTTTACAAAGAGATTAATTTTCAAGACAAAAGCAAAAGACTAGATTACTTATTCAAGATGAACTATTCCTGCTAATTAGTTAAAAGGATCTGCTCCACTGTTAAATTTGTGAAAATAGCCAGCAGAAAACTGAACAGAACTCAGTATTGTATTTTATCAATTTGGCATACGTACTGATGCTTAGCTGATGTATGTAATCTACGAAAAAGTTGGAATTCAGCCCTTTTAATACCAAATCCTCTGTTTTAACTGTCAACAAAACAGTAAGCCAAAACTGAACAGCTGCTTTATTCAACACAGCAATCACACACTACTCACAATCCCCTCCAATGCAAGCACTCAAAAACCAGCAGGATCAAAGAAAACAGCATTCTACAAACCTCACTCAGTGCTCACACAGCAATTTGATTTGGTTGACTTCTACAGGCAAAGAGATTTAATGTAAATTAGCAAAAATTATATTAGTAAAACCAGTCAAACAAGCTGGTAACATAACAAAATAAACAAAGGCTTTCTGTTTTATTAACAGAACATAACCCAGTGTTAATAACCCTGGTGCCTAACCCAGGTACTCTACTCACGTGTTGGAAACTGAGGTAAACATGGGTTGCCATCATCTTGTTTGAGCTGGACTCGTACTCTACCTCTGTACTGAACATCTCTGTTCCACTCTCTAGGATACATCTTATTTTTCTGTCATAAAAAAGTAGAAAATTATTATCATAAGTACTGGAATAATTTTTTTGCTAATCTTTTCAGGCATCTAAGTCACAGCAGCCTGGAATCCTGAACAGACATAAACCATAACTGTAGCTCTCTAACAGTGTCACCCACCATTCAGCCATTGCACTAGCATCCAACGCTATAGTGTAACTTTTTCAGAAGCATTGCTGCACCTAGCTACTGGTACTGAACAATTTAGCAAGAAACCTGCTACAGGGATTGTTCTGCTTCCCCACTGGTCTGGACCACAGTGAAACTGATTCTGCTTCATCTCCACAGCCACAAAACCTTCTGGACACTGAGAGACAGTACGTCAGTGGTCGGAGTCTGAAGCCCACTGCTTTTAGATATTCATAGACTTAATTTTTGTTAAAATGTTAGAGGTTTCTTACTGGCACCAGCTACTTCACAGGCTGGTGTGAACTAACAGGAAGTTATTCAACTTCTTCTGAAAAGCAAAGTGATTTTGCACTCGTTTTTGGATACCAGTCACTCTCTTAGATGAGGACCTAAATTCTTTAGTAAAGAAGTGACAGAAAATTCAACAGTATTTTAAATTAAAGTTACCTTTCTAGAAACCAAGACTTAGTCCCCAAGAAAACAGTAAACAACTATTTAAAGAGCAAGCAGCTATTCCTGTAAGAACAAGTTAACATTCTCTGGCTACAACATAACTCCAAACAACCTGAAGATTTCAAGCATTAGAATCCTATTCCTACAGGACACTCATTCCAAAAGCTAATCACATTTCATTTCATTTCATTTCATTTTATTTCATTTCATTTCATTTCATTTCATTTCATTTCATTTCATTTCATTTCATTTCATTTCATTTCATTTCATTTCATTTCATGCTTTTTAGAAAGGTTTAATTTGCAGAGTTGCAGCTTGCAAAATTAGCTTTTATTCTCACATGCCTTTAAGCATACAGGATAGTATTCTCAGAAAGATGTTTAAATAAAAGTAAACATTTTAGAAGCTTAAAATTGGCATAATCTCAGAGATCTGGATTATTCCTGCCTCGCATACAGTTTTCCATTTACTTCATCATTATAGTCAGTTATTACTCAAATCAAGCAAATGACCTGGCTGGTAACAAAACTTCTCAATTGCAATTTATCTTGTAAGAAAAGATACAATAAAAGGAGAACAGAGACACATACCAAGTTTGTGTTTTGTTTTGGTTTTGTTTCATAATTACCTCTAATAGCACGTTGAATCCAACTGCTGCACATACATCTTGGATTTCTGTAGACGTGGGATTTTCAACAGCCTGTTGAAACAACAAGTTACAGTTAATTAGTTTTCAATTATGACCCATATAGCAATAGTTAGTAGTTCCCTGCCCTATACTCTGTAACTAGAAAAAGCAAATGGGGAAACAGAAGGTACTTCAAATAATGACAAATCTCCCGTAGAAGTCATCTGTGACTGCTCCTGTGGTCTTGAAAACATAAAAAAAAAGAAGAGATAAGACATCAGTAAAACAGGAAACAGATGAGACAGAATTAAATAGGACAGAGAAGCAAGCAAAAGAATTGCTTAGAAAAATAAACTGAAATGAAGTAACAGTTATTATTTACACAAAAAAAACCCCAGAAAAGCCATGAATCAGCAACAGCAAATTTGTAAGAAGGACTGAAGGAGAAAAGAACAGAAACTTTCTAGGCACAGGGCAGCAGGTTCCTCCTATAGATAGATCTTTGGCTGGTGACTTGCATGCTCAGTGGAAGATTTTGTTTTGAACTATTATCAGAAAAAAAAGCCCAAACCCAAGCACTGAAAAAAAGTCCTTTATATTGTCAGCACGGCTTGTTAAAAATATTATAAAGGAGTGAGATGATCAAAAACTATTTCTGGACAGATTAAAAGCAGTAACAACTAGCAAGCCTATGTGCCATGTGCAATGGAAGTTCTATCTTTGACAGCAGCAAAAGGGACAGGGCAAACTCAGCCCTCTACTAAATTCACATGCTGACACTACGTTATCTTCAAATACACTGTAATTTCCAGTTATCGAGCTACTTGCCATGGGGGATAGGAAAGATCAACAGCTTTGAAATTTATCTTCCAACTCTACACACTGCCACAGAACAAAACACAACAAAACAACGTATTTCCCTGCCACCCACAAAATTACTTTGTCTATAGGTATCCTTCTTCCTTCTGCTATTGTCTTCTTGTTATTCAAATAAGCTGGATAAATGCAGATGAATCTAGAAAGAGACAAGAGTGAGTTTAAGTAATATCAACTCCTTAATCGCTTATGCAATATTTTCCTAGTAAAACAAAAAATATATCTCATTACTACAACACAAGTTCCCACAGCAGCTAAGAACAACCATTTATTTTCCCTCGACAATTAGTAAGATGATGCAAAACCCCATTTTGAGTTATCCAGGTCACTGCATGACCATTTGACTGAAATGTTCCTTGCATGACACCACTTTTTGGGGCATAGAGTATACAAAGTACAACGCTATCGATCTTGAGAAAAAAAACAGGTTGAAAGACAATGTTTTGACTCATGTCTTAAAGCCCTGAAACCTTGAAGAAAACATAGACATTTCCCCAAAAATAATTTGAAAAAAGGTTTCCTGAAAAAGCTGTAGTACACAAACTGCTGACTAATTTCTTGATAAAAGCAAGAAGCAGGTTTAAGGTTTTTTTGTTACAGATTTGATTTGTCCAACCTACCCCTTCACACTCAGATCTGGGTAAGTTATAAAGTCTCTGAAAATATATGCTTAGAAACGCTTGAGATTTTTCAGTAGATTTAAACCTGTCAAGCACATACAGGGGTATGTGACAGAACCTTTAATACTTCTTATTAGACAATAAAAAAACAAGTAGGTGAGGCCTACAAGGAGAGGTTGAAGACTACCTACATCTGAATGAGAAGCTGTGACAGCATAAGAAAACAGAGAAGCAGAAAGTGAGCAAATAACTCCCAGCAAAGCTATCTCAGTTAGAGGAAGCCTGACAAGGACCACTGATCCTTACTGCCTCGCAAGAAGCATCTCCCGCTGCCTCCAAAGCTAGCTTCAGCCATCTCAACCTTTCCACTGGTATCTTCCCCTATCAGCTACCATCCCCTTTACGAGCCAACCAGAACTTCTGCATAAGTGACACAGTAATTGCAGGTGCACAGGAAATTTTCAGTCTCGTTACTGACATCACAACCACCAACTGCCTACACTGAACACCGCCATCTCTTGCTCAGTTCACCTCTTCTGAGCTTTAAATGATAAGAGTACGTTAAAGGAACGACTGTATTTACAGTACAGCTTTAAGCACTCCAGAATCAGAAGCGGACAAATCTTCACC